TTCTTAATCAAATCAAGTGCAGTTTTTTTAAAATTGCTCGTCTTGACTAGAAGAACACATCTATACGGTTGATCGACCCTTAAATCAACTCTATGCACATGGAGAATCAAATGAAGCTCGGTTTAGGTTTAACTTTCAATACCTTGGTCCAAGAGGGGAAGCCTCGATTGGATGCTTGTGGAAGCTTCGTGTGGGTCCCAAGAGCCTAGGGATGGAGCCTCAAGTGGTGGTGAATCGACTAGATATGATTTCGACCAAGGCTGAATTAGAGGGTTGATCAAAGTCCACCTTAGGGTGCTCTGGTGATCGGGCTTTTGTGGGGGATCTTCTTCTCTTGCCGTGGGAATGGTGTGGGTGCAATTAATTTGAATTTCGTGGAGGTTTGGAGAGTGCCCTGTTTTGACCTAGGAATTGGGATAAAAAATTGAGCTCGAGCAGTGCATTTAGCTGGTAAGGATGGTTGGGTTAAGCTCAAGAGGTCTTAAGGAAGCTTTGGAAGCAATTTGTCCGAGTCTCCCCAAGGAATTTCAAGCTCTCCCCCTTTGGTCATGGAGGGGGGGGGGGGGTGTGGGGTTTAAATAGATGGGGAAGGAGAGGCCATTAGAGGCAATTGGTGGGTGCTTTAGGTTACTTATATGGATGCCAAAAATGTACAATATCAAATTGGGATGAGATAGCTTGGATGAGTTTAATTTTGAGTTTTGGTCTAGGTGGTGCTTTTGAAATTGGGTTTTTCGGCCACCAAGGTGGCTGGTCGGCTAGGGAGGGGTCACCATCCAGTCCAAGGAGGTCAGAGCTTGGTCTTGGTAAAGTCAATTGGGGTTGGCCACGTGTAAGGGTATGAGATTGAAATAGTATGGGAAAAGGACTATTTTGTGTCAAATTGGGTCAAGACATGGTTTAGGCTGGGTTCACCCCTCAAGTCTGGTTTGGGTGTGTTGACCTCACTTTTGGTTGAGGTCTAGAAACTTCTTTAGTAGCCTAGGTCTAGCCATAAGACTTTCCTACTGACTAGTCTTAGAAAATTAGAAAAGGTACCCCCACCATTAGAAATTCAAAACTTTTCTTTTTAGATGCTTTAAAATTCTTGCTAAGCCATCAGTCAGAGAGTGGTTCTCTCACATTCCAAATAACTAGTGGCTCATCAACACATGGAGCATAAAGAATAATTGTAATACATGAATATCTCAATACGTCAAAGCACGTCTGGGCCATAAGAGTAAATGATAAATCTTCATATCTCTAACGGGTTGCAGCTTATCAACATTAGACCGTCAAAATATTATTGACGAAGTCAGAAGAGAGACAAGGCTCAAAGTAGCTCAACATCAGAAAGGGTGGATTAATTCTAAAAGATAGAGGTAGTCAGGTTAGAGTATCACAGACCCATTATCCCAAGACATTAAGACCCTAAGTCTACCTTGTCGTGAAAGTATTCGACCCAACATGTCCAGAGATCCCCGATCAGTAATATGTGAATTGCGTCATCCATGGGGGCTTTGGTAACCCTAAGGTCAAATAAATGAATCTCTATTCTATGATTATAAGCAAAACTCCAAGAGTTGGGATTATACCTGCCGAAATGGTGAGGATGCTTCAGGAAAGAGAGAGAAATGAATGTTTAGGTACAAAGTTGAAAGCACTCCAAACAATAAAACATACACACCGTCTGAGTCAGGGAGCCTTCAAACACCGTTTACTCGCATCTAAGTAGAAATCTATGTTGAGCCAGTCGGGTTGGAGAATCATGAGGGCTTCTCCTCATGACAGGCAAAAAAGAATACAATTGTCTAAAACGATCCTTAGATATTGTGGAGGCTTTATTATATGACTTGAGTTAAGCCCATGTAATGCAACCTGTTTAAAATCACGCCCAAAGGCCATACAAAAATTAAAAGTCCATTTTTTAAAGTCCTGAATATTTTAATCCTAAAAATTCATTATCTTGAATATTTTCTTAGGATTTTGTATACATTTTTAGATTTTTAACTCCTAATGAGCTTGTATTAGTTTCCTGATTCCCGGACAAACCATATAAATAAATAAGGAATATGTTTTAGGCATTCAAGCACGTAGTAAGGTAGAGAACAAACTAAATATATATATATATATATAAGGCCGATGTTATTGGGTCGGCAACATATCCCACAAGAGGAAAAATAAGGTCAGAATCTGTATATATATGTCTGGTACTAATTCTATATATTAATATAAAATGCAAAATTAAGAGACAGGACAAGAGCATCTTTTCTTAGTCCTCACCACTTGATTCCCACGCAAAGCGCCTCAGAACTCCTGCCCGTATCTTATTTTTGCTACATGGCTCTCCTAGACTCTAAAAGTACATAGGAAAAGAGAAAAGACTCGACTTGAATAAAAAAATAAGGTTTGTGAGGAAATTTATGGAACATATAATGAGCGGTGTCTGGTGGGGGAGCTAAACAACATTTACAAGCAGAGGGTTTGCAAAAATCATTTCATGCTCCCCCTTTTATTGTACCTGTGTGAGTGCATATATATGGGTTAATAGAAATCATTACACGGCTTCTTGTAGAAGAATGCTCTAACACGCTATCATGAAAATCAAGTATGCAGTTACACCAAAAGCACAAAAGAAGAAAAAGGTTGGACTAGGGCAACCAAACCAACAATGAATAATAACAAAGCATCAAAAGACTACCAAGCATCCTAGATCCTAGCCTAGCACACCATTTAACAAAAAATGTCCTCACCAACACATGAATCTAAGGTTGTTTGTACAATAATGACATAAATCTTCACCCTTCGGCTCTTGAATGATTAAATGACATGCAACATAAGTCCTTTTCAAAATGACACAAAATCATAGGTTAGTTTGGAATCACGATAGCGTCTTCTGAGCCCTTATGAGTCCCTTACCCTTTTCCTCTAGAATAGAGCATTAAATTTCCTTCCTTGAAAACAATAATACAATCTTAATCAGAAGTTTGCTTAAGCACTCAGGGCTTCTTAATATGTAATTAACTATATAGGCTTGCCATTATAAGAATATGCGAACCGCATAATAGGTACAATAACCTGAATCTCTGCTCTTGGATTTGCTTTCGCCAGGTCTTCTTCGCGAGCATGCCTTCGAACTATTTTAAGCCAATTTTACCTCGAATATACACCTCATAATTATCAACACAGAGTACACCACATGAATGCCTCCCCGCTTGTTTCTTTTGTTTGTTTCCGTCATTGTATGCCTTAACCCTCTGATCTCTTCTTTCCTTAGATCATCCGCACGATTAGAGAGAGAGAGAGAGAGAGAGTTATTCAAAGAGAGGCTATACGATGGTAGATAAACTGACGAATCTATAAAAACAGTACAACAAAACAACACGCAGCGGTAACATGAAGCGGAAGCATATGCGACGAAACCTCAAGAGAAAGTGGAGATGCAAGCCACGAAAAGCGCGAGCAGTAGGTGTTAATAGTCTGATGGTAGCAGATTGATAGTAATAATAAACCGATGATGGCGACCTAATAACAGTGGACTAGAGGTGGTGATTTGACGATGAATGTTAGTTGGAGTTTAAGGGTCATCTAGATTTTTGATGAAGTTCAGCGATTCTCTTTGTAAAGAGTGCATCTATTTATAACTTTTGAGCCTCAGTTTTTATAAATATCTTCATTATTCAAGGCTCTATATAAAAGCCATAGTACTTTTCATGATTATGCATCAATTTTTGACTGTTTAAGTTTTTTAAAAATTTTAGAATCAAAGGGTGGAGAGCTCATTAGATATTTTCATCGAGATACTATATTTAAATATAAGTACCCAAGATTTAACGATTATTTGACCACCGATTGAATCTCTTAAAACTTTTAATTATGCTTCAGGTGCTTGATCTGAGCTCATTCAAGATTTATATCACATCATTTTTTATTATATTAAGTTTTTTAATTTCGATGATTAATTTGATCATAAATTTGTTAAATTCAAAGTTTGGATGCTTTTGCACTTAATGCGATAAGTGATCAAATTTCAACTTGCATTAAAGCTTATGCATGACCACATAAGTTTTTATTGATGATTTGTCACAAATGTTAAGATAAAAAGTTAAAATTATTTTCCTTTTTTAATTTAAGTATTTTATTTTAATCATTTAATTTAAATTAAAGCGAAAATATTAATGAATATTAGAATGAGCTTTAAAAGCTAGACCAATTTACAATTTTAGATGTTTATTCTTAGAAGTAGGGTTGTGAAAACCAAACTAAAGATCGAATCTAAAGAAGACGATATTTAAGGTTTAGTAGCTCAATCGGGATTGTTACATTGATTAAAAAGGAATATTATTAAAAATATTTTAATTATTTTAATATAAGTTCAATAATAAATAATGATATATTATTATTAATTTTAAAAAAAAATAATATAAGACAACAGTCTCAAATGTTTTAAATAATATTCCAAATCAAAATTTTAGAACATAATATTTTCTCCATTTTTAATTTAAAAATCATATATTCAACAATCTTATTAAAATCAAAAGGTTCAAGTATGACCATATTTGAACTAATTGGTTCTTTAATAATTCGATTAAAAATCAGATCGGTTCATCAGCTCAATTTTGATTCTGACAGATTCATTCTAGATTATATGCAAGAACGGATTTGAGTTTCGATTGATTCGATCATTCAATTAATTAAAAATTGAACCAATCTATCCTTAAAATCATGCTTGAAAAGGATTTTGTTCAAAATGAACAGCTTTGTGGATAAACCACTTCACCCTTCAGCCCGAGAGACCGTCCGATGCGCCCGTTTTTAAACCAAAGCGTCCAGATTCCAGACTGGTTCCGAATCCAAATAGCACACTATTACATTCAGCAATCTCGCGAAGCATTTTACCGCAAACCGCGCGCTCAAATTCGAATTTATACAGACGGAAAAATTAAAAAAAAAAACAAAAAGGAAGAAATGAGTTTTGCATTTCTAAAGTGAATCCAGGAGTAGAAATGATTCAAAAAAAAAAAACAAAAAGGAAGAAATGAGCTTTTCATTTCTAAAGTGAATCCAGGAGTAGAAATGATTCACGAACTCTAGGATTACCTCCAAAATCAAACCAAAAATGGCCGCCTCCAAGCCTTCCTCTCGCTACGCCGCTGTTGAACCGTGCTCATCTTCCTCATCTCGCGGTCCCTCCCCTGCCTCCCGCCTCAAAAGCACTTCCAAGAAGCTCCCTTCCCTGAAGAATCTGTCCTCCAATTCAGGCAGCCGCCGCGATCCCTCCCATCCGACCGCTGCCGTTCTGACAGCTGATAACTCGTCCCGCGTGCTCGCGAAGAAGAATCCGCTGACATTCGGCACCATCGTCAAGAATTTTATGGAGAAGCGCTCCAATTCGAAGTGTGGATCGGCGAAGGGGACGGAGCTCGTGATTCCGCCTGATACTATTGCGGAAGATTTGAAGAAGGCAACGGGTAAGGGATCCGGCAGCGGCTTCTCGAGTCTCCACCGTAAGCTGTTCAATAGGTCGGGATCATTAGATCGAACGCCGAAAAATGCATTGACGGAGGTTAATAACAATACGCGCACGCTGGGGATGGTGCTCCGCAGCGAGAGGGAGCTTATGAGCCAGAATAAGGAGTACGAGAAAGTGATTGCAGATCTGCGGCTTCTTGTGGAAGAGAAGAATCTGGAGGTAAGTTCTGAGCTCAATCAGTGACGTTATTCGAGCTTTGTTTTGCTGTTAGGTTTATCTTACAATGCTGCAATTGGATAAGGTGGATAAACTGAAGGATCTATGCCTGAAGCAAAGGGAGGAGATAAAGGCATTGAAGGATGCAGTACTTTTCCCAGATGTTTTAAATCCTCAGCTTCAGGAGCTGTTTGAGAGGCAAGGATCAGAGTTTAAGGAGGCTAGAAAAATCATACCTTGTCTCCAGAAGCAGGTTTCGTCTCTTACGGGGAAGATCCAATGCCTCGCAGTGGATCTTGCAGAGGTACAGTCATTGATCACTTGTTCAATTTATTGAATTAGTAGTCCTGTTTTTTCCCTTCTGTTCTTGGAATTTTAATGCTTCATAACAATAATTTCTAAGTAAATTTGCAAGAAAATCTCATAGTAATTTTCCTTTGGGGTTTTTACCTGCCCACCATCTAAAATTTCAAAAATAACAAAATAAACACCTAAACTTTAAATATTCAAATCAACCACCTAAAACCTAGAACTCGTCTTTTTAGCCACCAAATAGCCCCATCTGTTCGCGTTCCGACTCCCGTCTAATTCAGATAATGACTTATAAACTTTAAATGAAACTCCTTTTTGATTGAATTAATTGACTATTTAGATTAGGCAATTTAGATTATAAGTTATTTGGTTAATTTTATTAGATTCAGTTATTTAAATTACTAATTTAGAAAAATTATTAGTTTAGATATACTATATCTATTTGTTATCTATTTTATTTAACTAAACATTAAATTTATAATTATCTATTTAATTTTCTAAATGATATTGTATAAGAATAGTATTTAATAAATGATTTTTTTTATAAATTTAATTAAGGTGAAATTATTTTTAAATTTACTTTATTGAATAATTAATTAATTAATGCTCGAATAGTTGGCCTTAAAGTATGGGGCGGGGCGGGGAAGAAGATAAGTTGTTTGGTCAATTTTATTAAATTAGGCTACTTAGATTATTAATTGGAGAAAAATATTAATTTAGATATATTATATCTTTTTGTTGTATAATTTACCTAACTAAAAGTTAAATTTATATTAGCCTAGATTATATAATGCTAAGTTGATTCATCTGGCTATTTGGAAGCAATCATCAATTCGTGTTTGGATTTGTTCTAAAATTTTTCTCATAGCTTGGAATGTGGCGGGGCGTGGAAGATAGATTATTTGGTTAATTTTATTAGATTAGGCTATTTATATTATTAATTGGATAAAAATATTAATTTATATTATATCTACTTGTTATCTAATTTTCTTAACTAAAAAATAAAGTTTAATAATTTATATAAATTTTTAAATAATGACATATAAGAATTTATGAAAGCAATTTTTGTATTAATTTAATTAAAGTAAAATTATTTTTTAATTGAGTTAATTGAATAAATAATTAACTGATGCTTAATAGTTGGCCTGAAAGTATTAGTTGTTGTTTAATTAGTTTCAAATAATTTACATAATGTTTAATTAATTTAAAAACTCATTAATAATTGATTTATGAATACTAAGATATTAATTATAATCTTATTTGGTGTGGTAATCACAATAACATAGAATTTATTAAAAGAAACTTTGGTTGTACTTGAATGCTATTTTTTCGATATTTTTATCAAATGTTATTATTTATAATATACTTAAATTAACTGACTTAAATTTTGAAAATTTTGCCAATCAGCTTTACAGAATCACATAAAATGTTTTAACTTAAACATTTAGTAGCAAATCACAAGATAAGATTTTCAAAGTCGTAGGAAAAACCTAAATCCAAATTGTTGCCTAAGGTAACTTCTAGTCGCAATTAATTGTGTTAATATAACAACTCTTCTCTTTGATAAATATATTGACAAAATTGAATATTTCTTCTCTAAGTCAACCAAAATAATCTTTTAAAGCCTTGAAGGGCTCAACGCCGCATAATCTCATCAGGTCCAAATGTTTCCTAAATTGAAAATCTTTGAGATAGTTGTTGTACAGCACTACACTTTGATGTGGCACCATTAAACCTAAACTTTCACGTATTATTGTACTTTCATATCATTGAAGTTGTTCTCTCCTTGTTCAATACTTTATAACGGTGTGATCTGATATTTGGGTGGATTAAATAATGCAAACTTGATTCATCTAGTTGTTCGGAAGCTTTCATCAATTAGTGTTTGAATTGGTTCTAAAACATTTCTCACAGCTTGGAAGCTAATTCTTTTCTGCTTCTCTTAAATGTGATGATCTAATGTAGATGATTAAACAATTGAAACACTCCTTGAAGTTATACTTTATAATGCATGCAAGCGCGTGTGCGTACACACACGCGCACACACACATGCATGCATATCTATTTATCTATATCTATATATATATATATATGTATATATGTATATTTTTTGTATCCTGTTAGAACTATGAAACCCTTGAAAATCTTGAGAATCTTTACATTTATAAGTAACTCGTATTTGATATAACTTAGCGCACGAACGATTAAGATTTTCTCTCATAATCTTAGATTTGCCATTATGTGTTTTATAAAGATATTGCAAAAATAGTAGTTCTCTAAACACATTTTTTCCTTGAATACAAATGGTCATTACAAAGTTAATAATCAATTACAATGACTTGCTATGACATTTGTCGATTCAGTAAACATAAAATGTATCACCATAATTACATCAGTCATGCTTGCATTTGTTTTTATCTTCTAAATGATTTTCATTTGTTAATTGTTCCCTTTTTTTAGAGTCATTAAATTTCTTTTGATGCATATGTTGCATTAGAAATAAGTCTTGTTTTGCCAATAGATATGCCTTTAGAGGTTGGCCCTTTCTCCATTAGTTTATCTCACATGAGCAATCCCCCATCTTAATTTTCTTTGTCAGCATCCTTGAGTTCAAAAATTAACTTTTTTTACCAAAAATGAGTTTTTTGCTTCTTTGTTTCTTTGAATTTATGTTTTTCTTTGTAAATCATGAATACTTGAGATAAATTTATGCAAATTGGAATTGTTTCCATATTAGCAACAAATGCAACCATTGTCTTTTATAGAGTTAGTTGGAGGTTGATTGATATGAATATTGAACCTAACATGACAGACAAAAAATTTTGTAGTTGACTCAAAGAAAATCATCAAAAGCTTGTCCACCAAACACAATAAATCAGTGCTATCCCTTTTCATCTATCTTCGTGTTTTTCTTATTACTCTTCATCATTCATGGCATTAAACTCCTCTTAAGTGCTTTCCTTACTATATAAAAACACCATGCATTGTTTCCTGATGGTTATACTTTTTTCACCCATCAAAGTTTTAAATTTTGAACTTTGTGGTTACTAATCTCTGATATTTTTTTGTATTAATTTTCTATAATAAGGAGGCCAAATAATGGCTTGTATCATATTAGAGAGGACGCCAATTATTGTGTAAAATCAGTAAATCACTCACTACCCTTTCTTAAATCCCAAATACACCCAACTCACAAATATAAAAAGCTTAATTAATTTCATACAAAGAGATTATTGCTAAACCTTCTACTCAGATTGATTTATGGGATCTTTTTGATATTATTTTTAAGACCACAACATTGAGTAAGAAAATGAAATTATTAGTTGCCCAAAGGTAAAGATGGATAATCAATTGGTTGTAGGATGATCAAAATATTCTGTAAGCAAAAAATTGGACCATGGAATGATGATAAGAACAACTAGATTATGGTATTTTTTTAATTTTAATTTGTTTAAAATAGGTCTATATTTTTATTTTAAATTTGATTTTTCTTTTATGGATGTAATTTAAGAAGGATAATGTTGTTCGTAAATAGTGGAGCTCATGATAAAGATGTTTCTTATTTTGAATTAGTTAAAAGAAGATAAAATAAAATTTAAATTAATTTCTTTACATATAAATAATTTATTTCGTGCAATGGAAAGTAATTTTAACTCTCCTAAAAAAATTGTTTTTTAACAACTTGGTTTGGTAGCAATATTGTAGAATTGGTAGCAATCATACAAAATTAAGTAATCATCTACACTACAGAAATTGTACTTACTATAGCAAACAACAAGTATAAGACAAAATTTAGATAGGTGTTTCCTATATTAAGAGGACTCAATTAATCATGTTATCGTGGACTATCTTTATCACATTAAAAGGACTATGCCAAATCATCTTTTTCCTAAAAAAATCTTATAGGTTCCAAAATTTTTCAGCACTTCCAAATTTTGATCTTAAAATGGTTTTATAGCATTTGTTTCGTTCCATATGAGAATAAATTTTTAAGGTTAAATAAAAGGATTGGAAAGGATTCTCTTGGCAATATATAACCAATAGACCATGACCATGAGGTAAGATTACATCTAATTAATGGTGTTCTCAACATGAAAGAAAAGATGGCTCGGTAGATTATAATCAAATGAAGGAATAAAGAACCTATTGATGGTTATATTTGCAACTATAACCTATGCTCTACTAGATCCAAAGGTTTTGAGATGGGGGCAAGAGATCTCTTCTTCATTTAGTCCACAAAAAATGTCATTCCATTTGTTGGGACATAATTTGTCGAGGAAGATGATCAATCATAATAAAATAAAAACCTTCAGACTTAAAGGAGGAAAATGAAGACTAAAATAAATGGGCAGACCAAAAGAGCTCCCATTTGCAAGAGAAAATGAGCTAAATGGGGAGATGCTATCTTGGTGAATCTTTTTGAAAGAATTATCTATTTCACTATATTTGATAAGAGGGTGAAGCGAATGGTTGTTTACTAGTTTTAAAGTTTGGTCAGTCTGATTCCTGATGGTCAATGTCAACAAGCAGAAAAATTGGATTATTTGATGATGATAATGATAATAAGATCATAATGAATTTGAATTGTGAACTTATTTTGGATAAGTTAATATTTCAAATTTAAATTTGACATATTTTTGTTGAGTTAGTTTATAAAGTATAAGGTTGTTCTTGAATGGTTAAGTTAGGAATTGAGTGTTCCTTGTTTGATAAATTAGTTTAGGAGAAACTAATATCAATTTTAAATTAATTTCAATTATTTTTCTACCTATAAGTAGATATTTCCTGCAATTAAAATAATTTTGACTCTCACAAATGATTTCCTTTTCTTTCTACACGGACATTGTAGCAAACAAGGACTTGAAGCAATTTATGGCCACTATAGTATTATAGATAAATATATATAGACTTAACAGTGAATTCTGGAAGGTTGATGGTTGTCCTGATGTCAGAGTTTGTTAGCAAGGCCTGGTCAAGCGTGAATCGCAGGTG